TTTGTCACCTCTGCAGCAGCTGACCCCTGGGACACGGTGCATCCGTTGAGCACGGACAGGCTTTACCAAGAGTGATGGCAAATTTTTAAAATCAAGACGCGGTGACTTCTTAGATCTGCTCTAGGAATGGTTGTGGAGCAGTCCTCTGGTCTGTGTTATCCAGCAGGTCCGATTAATTGATCACAACGGTCCCGTCTGGCCTGGGAACCTACGAACAGAAGACCTGCATTACGACATTTCTGACAAGGGGACTCAAATCTAGACACAGGCCAGCAGCCACAGAAGCTGTCCAGAAGATTGGAAAGGAATTCCTCCCTGAACCCACCCCCACAAATCAGGGAGAAATTGTCCCTAATGCTCTTCCCTTGCTTTTTACCACCACCAATGAGAGCGCAGTGGGGTAACACGATTGTTTTGATGCCGGCAGAAAGCACTCTCGGTTTCTCCTGCTACCTCCTACAGATAAAAGGAGAACGGCTGAAGGACAGAAAGATGATGATCCATTTCTGTGCTTCACTGAAGAACCGGACAGCAGCGACTTCAGTTCACCTCCTGGCAACAGTGAAAAAGGGTGGCCTTGAGGCGGAAAACCAACCCGGACTGAACCATCATGGCAATTAGAGATGGGCCCAGGCTCCTTGTGCAATCAGAGTCAGATGTGGATTCATACACACTACACAGCCAAAGGACGTTCAGATCCAATGGATGGTTTGCCTACTTTACAAGGATGGTTTTCAGGTTACTGGACTTTTAATTTTTCAAGGTGTCTTCTTCTGTGCGGCGCTCAGTCTTGCGAGGCAGAGTGCAGGCAGTGTATGACATAATGCATGCACACACTTTGCCCTCTCATGGAGCCTTTACTTTTGTTCTTTCTTGTTTTGTTATTTCCCTTCACAGACAGTGGTCACAATTCAGACTGAAACACACAGTTGATCTTTGGTTCGGAAAAACACAGAACAAGACTCTGGAGAATGACAGGGAAGGACAAGGAAAGAAGAAAACAAAATTGAATTTTCTATGAGATAGTACGGTGTGTGTCACATGCTTCATCTCCCCGCATCACAAAACGGAAGGCTTTACGGCAGAGACTGGGGCAATGCCTTAGCTACTTAAAGATGACACACAGATGAGCACGAGATGTTGGCGAAGAGTCAACATAGGTTCTGTAAAGAATCTTGCATCACCAATCTATTAGAATTCTTCGAGGGTGTCAACAAACAAGCCGACGAGGGTGATCCAGTTGATACCGCATACTTAGATTTTCAGAAAGATTTTGACAGAGTCCTGCATCAAAGACTCATAAGCAAAGTATGCAGTCATAGCGTAAGAGGGAAGGTCTCTTCATGGATCTGTAACTGGGTAAAACAAAGGTTAGAAATAAATGGACAATTTTCACTACAGAGAGTGGTAAAAGGCAGGGTCTCCAAAGATCTGGACTGGAATGGGTGCAGTTCAACATAGTCATAAAAGATCTGGAAAAGGGGGTGAACAGGTAGAAAAATTTGCAAACAATAGAGAATTATCCAAAATAGCTAATTATCCAAAATAGCTAGCTGCTAAGAGTTACAGAAGGATCTTCCAAAACTGGGCGATAAACTGGCAAATGAAGTTCAAAGTTGATAACCACAAAGTAATGCAATGACAGTAACAAAAGCTAACAGGGAATTTCCTTAGAAATTATTAGGCAAAGGATCGATAAGACAGAAAATATCATAAGACCACTTCAGACATCCCTGCTACACTTGGAATGTTGCATACAGGTCTGGTCTTGGAACTGGAAAACATACAGAGAAATGCACCAGAAATGATCAGGGATATGGAACTGTGGAAAAAGTGAATAAGGAAAAATTATTTAGTTATTCCTACAATATAAGAACTAGGGGTCACCAATGAAATTAATAGCCAGCAGGATTAAAATAAACAAAAGGAAGTTTTTCTTCACTCAACACAGTCAACTTCCATTCGCTTTTACACCATCCAACCCTCACAGTGCAACTAGCGATTAGTACCTCTGCTAATTCATTTCCTGCAAAGTACTGCTCTAAAACACTCTGCAGTCAACGTTTATGACTGTAGTGACACAATCCAGTTGCCTATCCTTCTTGGGAAAGACTTAACTAGAATAACTAGTCTTCCTTCCTTCCTTTCTCATTTGCAAAACTTGTTTCTTTTTTTCTCCCCTCAGGTATCTCTCTCACACAAAAAAACCCAAATGCAGTGAGCAAATCCTTGAATATTTTTCTACCAAACACTGTAATTAGCTCTGCATGTTGAAAATTACTCACTCCATCTGTAGCCCCGGCAGGTAGCTAAAGTTCACAGCTAGTGGAATCTTTGATCAGTAATTATGATGTAAAAACAAATCATCTCTCCCTCTCCCCCCCAGCAGTGACATCGTTCCAAAGAAGTACTCGCGCCTACCTCCTCCACACCCTCCAATGACTCAGTTAACTCCTCCCTTCAGAGAGGTTGGCAGGCTTTCAGCAGAGTGGTTCGACAGGTGACAAAACACCCATGACATGGAAAATCAAGCGATGCCGAGAGAAAACACAGCCAGGACATTGCTCATTGTTCATACGAGCAGCTGATTTTTGTTCGCCACTTGGATTTCAGTTCAGAACAATACTGAATGCAGACTGCATGGCAGACAGCGAGATCCAGTTTGGTTTCTGCATTCATCAAGAACACGAGATTATTCCCTTTCACATGAAGCTCAGTTTAGCTGATACACTTTTGGCACGTTTAAGACCAGTTTTTCCCTCCTGTGTGTGTGTGTGACTATGTGTGTGTCCATCAGTTGTGGGGCTCAGGTTTATTTTAATTTGGCATTTATCTTTCACCCAACCAGTGCAGCAATGAAAAGTCCCAAGTTTCCTTCTGTTAAGCTAAGTATGGGACACTTCCAGCCCACTTAATTAGCCTCATTAGTACTGGCCCTGAAACTGACAGTTACTTTTTTTCCTTGTTATTTCTACCCCAACTCATCTGAGGCAGTGGGTTTTGCCCATGAAAACCCATGACACTAGATATTTTTGTTCTCCTCTAAGGTGCCACAGGACTACTCGTTGTTTTCTGTGATCTGTGTTTTTGTCCAAAGCTGTCTGTCTTTCTCACTAGCAAGTTGAGATTTGTCGGTTTCATCTCTTTGTGGGCTCCATTTCTTAAACAGCTGCCGTGGTAGGCCTGGCTTTTCTGTTTCATTGCTGCTGTGAGCCAAACAACCCACGCACACACTGGTTGGAACCAATGGGCCTGGTTCTGTGTTGGCTTGCCCCTTGTGTCAGCTTAGATACTTGTGCAAAGTGGATGTGCAGTGTTACCCTGCCAAGAAGGCAGGGTTCCGGCGCTCGCTCTGGGCCTGATCCAGAACCAATGGAATGTATGGCATTGACCTGAATGGGCTTTGGATCAGGCCCCCAGTGCAAAGGCAGGTGTGAACAATGACACAAGGCACAAGGCAGTGAAGAATCAGTTGTCCTGGTGGTCAGATGGTGTAAATCACTGACCTCAAAGGAGTGACACCAATTTACACCAGTTGAGGATCTGGCCTTGTGTGTCCTGGGAATAATGCAGCGTGTGGCTGGCAGAACTGGACTTTGCAGGCCTGACTCGTCCACACCACGGACACGTGATCCTAATGCGACTGGGCTCAACTCGCCTTCCGTGCAGGTAAGCACGAGGGGCAGCGCCTTTGGTGAAATGGAGACGCTCTGGGGTAAAAACCCCTGCGAGAGGAACATCAGCCCAAAACTCCCACGTCACTCCTGTGCATTGGGGGACCGGAATCCCCACGGCCCCTGCCGTTTCCTGCGCCAGTCAAAGCCTGGCCTGCTATTTCGTACACTTCTGTGCCTTGCTAGAGCACATTTATTCTCTTCTGTCCCTACTACATGCCTTATGCTTAGCTACTGCTCAGCAGATGCTGGCTGCCTTGCCCATGTACATTCATGTGATCTAGTGCATTAGAAGAAATATACCGGGTTCAAGTCTGTTGTCTGTAACCCTGGGGGAAACCCAGAACAGGCCCATAGACTTAAGTAAAATGACTCTGGATTTACACCAGTGCAACTGAGAACATGACTTGGCCCATCAACTCTAAATATGGCTAGAATGCTTTGAGATTGGTTCGTCTCTCACTTAGGCTGGTCGGAGACTGGTGTAACCCCACTGACTCCCGTGCAGTTACACCTGATTTACACCAGCATGGGAGCGGAATCAGCCCCCTTTGGCTTGATCCACCACTGTGCAACTCCGTGTTTACACTGGTGTAGCTCCAGTGGGCTGTCAGACTAGCATAAACCGGAAGGAACACACTGGTGACATAGGTCTGTTACTACGAAACATTGCAAGACACCATTTGCATACATTCGACAGCAGAGAGGCAGTTTGGTTTCCCATGCACCCCCTCCCTCCACCCCCCAAAAGCTCCAAACCCAAACAGGCATTTTAATAATTATACTATATGCATTTCCATAGCGTCCCTCCCCACTGTACCCGGATAAAGATCCTTGCATTCTAAATTGTAGTCAGTTGTGAAATGCACCAACGGGACAGATTCTAATCTCGGTAACACCAGCCAAAATGTGTGCACCTCCACGGACGGCAGCAGAATTCCTCTGGGGTGAGCGATTAGAGTGTGATTTATATTATAAGTCAGGTTCTCCGACAGTGCCAATCAACAGGGTGCCACTCAAATAGGGGGAAGTTCTGATAGTTTAGACCAGTGTTTCTCAAGCAGGGGTACGAGTACCCTTAGGGGTACTCCAGAGAAGTCTGGGCGGTACGTCAGCACAACTGAAATGTGGAGAAAACTGATTCTTTTGTGTTAAGTTCTACAGCACTTTATTATTTTTTACTTTTTACACCCAAAAATTTCATCGCCCGCCTGGCTACGATGAAGTCATTTAAACAAATGTGTTGCAATGGTAGAAAAAAATTGTGTGTGTCTGAAAACAAACTGTAGGTACTGGGGGTACTTACAATTTTTTTTTAAAAAAAAAGGGTACTTTATATATATATATATATATAAAAAGGTTGAGAAACACTGGTTTATACCAGCTGAAGCTCTGTCCCTTCACCATTTAGGCCTAATTCTGCTCTTATTAATTCCAGTGTATTTTAACAGAAACCAGTAAAGTTATGCCTGGAGTATGCCAATGAGAACAGAATTTGGCCCATTATGCAAAGTTATGGGACAGATCTGTGTTCTTTCTACCGATAGATCTCTTCCCATTCTGTGCACTGTACGTTGGCAGGTTGATGTTTCGTTATCTTGCTACCCTGGGCAAAGTCTGCCAATAAGCTAGAGCCTTCGGCGCCAATCACACAGAATATCCAATGAATGGCAGGGTCTGATTGTGGCTGTTTGTCAGAGAGGGAGGGAGGGCACACAGGCTAAGACCTTCATCGTGTTATTTGTTTAGAATCAAAGTGTCACAAACCTAACTAAAGGTTGTTTTTGTGCAAGATTACTGGTGCGAGATTGACATTTAATCAATACTGTACACGTATCAAACGCCCTAGCTAGCACTTCTAATTCATGCACCAATTGATTTCTAGAGAGTGATATCTGTGCAGCATCCAAGTGTGGAGATTTAATTCTTATTAAAAAACAAAAGTGTCTTGTGTAGTCTACTTTCATGGTGAGTTAGGCATACCCATGTCAACATATCATTAAACGCCTTTCCATGCAGCGCTGTTTCTAATTCAGGACGTTATATGGTAGCTAGCTCTCTAAAGTGTTTGAAAGTCATTTGTTTTTCTTCTCGTTGCTAATTTAAAACCTTAAATATGAATCTTTTTGACTGATGTGAGGTGTCAATATTCTGAAAGTGTTAATTCACTCCCAGCTCCTGAGAGCGGTAATAGGTTACAATCTCTGAGTTCTAGTGCTTGTTTTCCCCCCTTCTCCTCCTCAAATCTTCTGTGTTGAGAGGATCCACGTCCACTTACAACCCTTTATTGTAGACAACAGTCTTACTGGGTGTGGCCACTGCTATTTCTGGCTCCAGTCGAGAGGTCTCGATCTGCCAAATGAAAGAGGAGGCAAGATTAGAATCTGGCTAATATCGTCTGATGGCAACAGAAGCCTGATACTTCAGTAATATAAATAAGCAGGGGCAAGACTTTGGTTGATGTTGTTCTGATTTTACTTCAGCTGGCATAAATTGAGGGGGGACTCTGTTCAAGTCAGCAAGCCTGACACTGGTCTCGTAACTGCAAAACAGGTGTAAGCACCCCACGAGTCATGGACGTTACAGCTCGCCCAATGGAGTTCCTCTGCTGTGAACTGCCCAGGGGTCTGTAGTAACAGGCAGTAATAACTGTACTCTCCAAATGTAGTCTGGTCGTCTCAGGGTACCATCCCATGGTTACACTCATCTCACACCAGCTGATATTGAATTTTCTGTTACATGACCAGACTCACACGCCCTCCCTTGCCGATCTTTGAAATTCTGTACGAGTTTAAACACGCACTTTTTTTTAAAAGAAACTCTATTGTTTTATTTTACGTCCCTGTCCCTGTCCCTTTCCCTGGCCTGATGCGGCCTCCCCCTCCATCCCATCGGATCCTAGCTAACTGCCAATCCTGCGACAGGACTCCTGTGGTTGGGTGCTTTGGAGGTGGGGGACGGGGGGAGATTCACAAAAAGGCCTAACACCACCCTTTTGACTGTGCCAAGACCCAGTGAAGTCAGCGGGGCTCTTTGTGGATGCCAGAGTCTGCATGTTGAGATCCAGGATCAGGGCCCTAACGTCTTCGGAGGGAGACTGGCAGCGAAATCCTAGCCTTGTTGAAACTGGTGGCAAAAGTCCAGTTGATTTCAGTAAGGCCAGATTTCTCCCCACATCTTCCTTAATCCTGCCATAAGTGGAGCGGACAGGACTAATTGACCTCTCGAGGTCCCTTCAAGTCTTACGATTTTATGACTCCTCTCTGTGCTATGGACACCTATGGCACGACAAAGAAGCATCAGATAACATAATACACAATATAACAGACTCAATAATATACTATCTAAGTCTTTGAAAAGTTGATTGTCTATGATGCATGGTTTAAAGGCAGCATTGTTCCATGCTCCACTGCATTTTTCTCTCTGTGAAATCTCCTTTTTCTTCTAATCGGGGGTGGGGTGGGGTGGAGGAGGGATTCTTCTTGTCCAGTCCAAGCCCCCTCCCCACCAAAACAAGACAATGTACCTTAAAGTATCATCCTTTTAAAACCCCTATACATTTAATCAGTGCTGTAGCTGACACAATGCTAGGAACCCACGTTAAAATCTAAATGCTTTTGAAAATGTTTAACCTAGTTAGACAAATTAGCAAAAATTTGTGCAAAACAATTTAGGTATTTAAAATATTCAATGTTTTTAAAAACTGGAAAAACTGTTCTTAGCTTTCAGCTGCACAAACCCAACAAAATATAACATCAAAGCAATCTTAACATGAGGTGCAACATAACCCTTCAGCAAAGCTGTTAAACAGCTACTGAGGCATCATGGGAAATAGCACTTCATTTATTCAAATGCACATATGTCAGGTTTTTGCACCATATGTCATTCCAAGCTATTTACAGTAATAATTAAATCTTAATCAACGTTTAACCTCTGTAAAATGTTTGAAGGGATCTAATCACCCTTCAGACTGCACTAATGAAGGAGAAATATATAAACATAAAAAGAAAATGATGCATAGATAGCGCACCAGAAAGAACAGTAATTGCAAAATTGTATTTCTTTTAAATATAATCATCAAATTATGTAAAGTAAGCCAACGAGTATTTTAAGTGAAGACATCTTGGGTGTCAGAGGTGTGATCAGCTAATTTTGTACTGCTATCCATAACAGATGTAGCATATTTTCTTTTAGTGCCATTATTAGCAACTTCACCATTTCTTCTTTTACTGACACACAAAGTGGAGCATTGTAATAGGGGGAAGCTACTCCGCAAGAAGAGAATAGCCTTTCCTCTCATTGTACACGAGCGCTGACAGCCGCCATTTTCATACCAGGATTAGCTCTGATCTGGCTGGTTCTCACAGAGCCTTCCTTTCTATTTTTTCCCCTCCGGTATGGAAGGAGATGTTTTTACACATCGACAGTGCAGTTTCACAGATCAGGATTAAATCTCACAGCAAGAGGTGCCTTCGAATTCCCTAGCTCGGAGACCGAGGTAAGGGAGATATATACGCGCAGGTTAGTCTCAGACTCGCCCACTTGACCGAAGTCTCTGCTCTGTTCACACAACCACGCAGTCAACTCAGGATGGCAGCCTGTGAAAAGCTCTAGCCCCACGGCGAGGGTGCAGAGCTGGGTGAATGGGTGGGACTGCGTGGCTGCCGCCTCAGAGCAGCGCAGAGATAGCTGGCCTACCCGGGTCAAATGGCTCAGAGGATGCACAGAAGGACAGCAGCTGCTATCTGAACCTGGTGGATGAAGCAGGGAAGAGGGTGGCACTGTGGTTTCCGCATGCAGGGGCTTGGAGTGTGAATTCATTGCTCCTCTTCGTTCTCTGCACAAGGCTCCAGACAATGGGCATTATGTGGAAAGGATGGGAGATTTCTAAGGACTGCAGTTTACGGGCTGGAGCGGTGGCTCTTAACCTTTCCAGAGTACGGGTCCCCTTTGGGGAGTCGGATCTGTCTTGCACACCCCCAAGTTTCATTTCACTTAACAATGACTTGCGAAGGCCAGGTCCACACTAGACCCAGAAGACACGACGGCACAACTCCAGCTACGTAAATAACGTAGCCGGAGTTGACATACCTTCCGCTGAGCTTGGCGCCATCTTCACAGTGAGAGGTTGACGGGCGCAAATGCTCCCCTCAGTTTCCCTTACTCCTCATGACTGGGGGCACCCTCAGCATTCGCTTTAGCGGGTCTTTACTAGACCTACTAAATCAAACGTTGGAAGATTGATCTCCGGCACAGCAAGTGGAGAATGTGGCCTCAAAAACCAGATATAAAAATACAAGAGGATCACAGCCACGTGGTTAATGAAAAATTGGTTGTGTTCCTCATTTTTACCACATAGTTATTAAAGAAATGAACTGAAACATAAATATTTTAAGTATCAGAGGAGTAGCCATGTTAATCTGGATCTGAAAAAGCGACAAGGAGTCCTGTAGCACCTTATAGACCAATACATCTGTTAGTCTATAAATATTTTACATTCACTTCAGCGTATAACATATAGAGCTGTATAAAGAAGTCATTGTATGACATTTTAATGTGCACTGACTTCGCTAGTGCTTTTTAGGTAGCCTGTTGCAAAAACTTGGCAAACATCTAGTTGAGTTGATGGACCCCCTGGGAGACTCCTGTGTTCCCCTAGTGGTTCACATTCCCCTGGATCAGAACCACTGGGACTGTGCATTGCATGTGTCCCTGAGGATCTCCAGGGGGTGTTCTGGGGCTCCCTGTTTGCACTGAGGAAGAACAGTTTGAGACCCCTGTACAGGCTACAGCGCTCTCACTCGTACACAGCCGCCCAGTCCCTGCACAGTACTGTGCAGCCCGGAAGGCAGGCCCTGGGGCGGGAGAGGGAAGGCCAGAGGAGGGGATAAGGATGGTAATCAGTGGCCCTCATGGATGGTGTTGGAGCTGAGGAGACAGTGGAGAAATGGTGCTGTTTGACCGGGAAGAAGGCCGAGCTCATGGAGCAGAGAACAAATTCATAGCACAGGCAGTCCATGCAGGGACAGGTCTCCTTCCAGAGACCCGTAGCACATGATGGAAGTAAAGCGGCTGTGTAAGCAATCCTGGGTGCACTGGGTACCTTTTATTGCGGGGTCCTGTTGGGCCCACTCAGGACCTCCTGGGAGACTGGAAATAACTGACGGGGGGTGGGGAACCCTGAGGCCTGCATGGCTGCACTAAAGGCAACCGAGCGGAGGTGTTAGAAGCCCTGGCCCCGAACGTCAGCTCCACGCCCCGAAGTGCAGACGTGTGTCCTAGGCAGATGAAGGAACAAAGTCCTTTGTAGAGGCACTCACAAAGCACCGATGAGAAATGCCCCCAGGTGACTCCCCTCCCATAGGAAAGAAATGGAAAAACCAAGGCGCTGGAACAGGAGTGTCACAAGCCAGCAAATGCAACGTGGAAGTCCTGGCGGCAGCGTTAGCCAGGCTCTCTCCACAGACCGCTCCGTAGCGCTTTCCATCCCATCTGCGTGTTAAACACGGAGCTTCGGATACTTGAGGGTAGGATGCTCCAGCAGCTGCCTGTGTCCTGGTATCTGCTTGGCCTGCCTTTGACGCTTGGTCTGGCTGACGTCCACGCGCTGTCCAGAGAAAAGGGAAGTCCCTCTGTAACGCATCCTGCTGGGCCTCTGGAGCCTTTGATACCGATGGTCACCGAATACGTTGGCCTCGTCTTCAGGAAGATGACGCATGAATGGAAAAGCCTGAATCGGGGACTTGCCCCCAAGACAACCCGGAGGGCTCCTATGGGCTTTGATGCATCCGCCTCTAGACCCCTCCCCGGCAGCACCACCCGGTGCGGTACTCTTCCCCACACGACTCAACCTCCCCGGCAAGCTGCTGGAGGGCTGGTGAGACAGCAGGGCTGGAGGGGCTGCCGCAGAGACTACAGCTCCTTCACACCACATGCAACCGGCATCACCCCTCTAAGATCCCCCACGCCCCGTGCAGCTCCTGGAGAACGCGCTTCAGCTGGCTGCTTGAAGAGAGGTTAAAGCGACTGGGACTTTTCAGTTTAGAAAAGAGGAGAGTGAGGGGGGATATGATAGAGGTCTATAAAATCATGAGTGGTGTGGAGAGGGCCGATAAAGAAAAGTTATTTATTAGTTCCCATAATAGAAGAACTAGAGACACCAAATGAAATTAATGGGTAGCAGGTTTAAAACTAATAAAAGAAAGTTCTTCACACAGCGTGTAGTCAACCTGTGGAACTCCTTGCCAGAGGAGGCTGTGAAGTCTAGGACTATAACAGGGTTTAAAGAGAAGCTGGATAATTTCATGGAGGTTAGGTCCATAAAAGGCTATTAGCCAGGGGATAAAATGGTG